CATAATAGAAAGAAAAGAAGGAGGACGGGAAGGAGGGAGATCTGAGGAAGGCTAGTACCGAGGGGTCGAGCTCATAATTGGAGCCTATTGTGCTTCTGTTAGTGATGCTATGAAGACATTATATTAAAGTAAGGAGCGAGATATACTATCATATTCCGGGAGGTCAATGCTCTCTGTTCTTCGGTGGAATTGTTAGCATCACCTGCTATCCCTCATACCCTACCCATATGGCCGAGCTGAAGTTGGGTGGTTTGTATAAGTATTGCCACTTTAACCTAGGTGTCCAACTTCATCTTGGCCACAAAAGTGAAGGGAACAAAAACTTACTGCTTCCGCAAACTCTAGTGTTTCTGGCTCGCTCGCGAGGCCAAAAGCATTGGACCTGCTTTCATGCCTACGGATACTGTCGGGGCAGTCATCAGGGACAGGGTCGCTAGTGTAAGCCAACTGCATACCCTTTTTATAAGATGATTCTAATACAACTGCGGCTGCAATAGGAACCACAGTTATTTTTATCACCAACCGAGGTTTTCCCGGGGGACTTGGCGGGCCTTTTCAGCTCCTCGTGGGATTCCCTCGGCTCCGTAATGGTTTTTCACTGTTTCTCATCGATTTTCCTCTGCTCCTCATTCATTTTCCTCAGCTCCACGCTGGCCCTCTACTACCTTTTCCAGTCTTTCCACCCTCGACCATAAAACCCTGCACGAAGGCATATTGGCGTGCAACAATAAGCTTGCTGTGCGGATGTGACCTGTCTTCGAGTTATTGTGGGGCAACCCTGCACCACCGCAGGTGGGCTGTGGGAAGGTATGTGGAGAGGATGCTAGTAGAGTTGGAGTTCAGGACCCGGACAGGTCGAATGAGCGGATGTAGGACTGAGATTGGAGGGTTGATTGTTTTATGAAAGGAGGTTAAAATGATTGAAAAGAAAAAGGAGGAGGAGAGGAGAGGATGTAATGCTTAGAGATAGGCCTACGGACAGGAGAGTGGCACAAGCAGTCATAGAGTGTCACTCGAAGCGGGTGTTCTAATAAGAGCACAAACACGATTTCCAACATATCCTTTTAGGTGATTGGCCTACCAATCAGTTTCTGTGTCTACGTAAGAGACTTGAAACTGGCTGCAGGTACTTTATCTGTACAGGCTTAACTTTAGCCCCTTTTGGCAAGAAGCAAAGCAATTAGAACCAAGGCTTCCGAACACCCCCTCACCTCTTCCCGCGCCATTACCGCGGAACTCGGCAGGTTTTACACAAAACCCTCACCGCTTTCCCTGGCTCTGCCAGAAAATGCTTCGCAATTGCTATATGCGGGCTTTATGGAAAGGACTACATCTTGAATAGATTATGCTGAAATTCTGAACCCCTAGGCAGGGTTACAAAAAGTATAGGGAGTGTTCATATGTAGTTAGAGGGCAAAATCTGACCCTGGGAGTCTCTCTATGGCCTCAAAATACCCCTCTGAGGCACCTTGGGGCATCATCTGCTGATCGGTTGAGTGATATTCAAACGGTCGGTTTAAAATACAAGTAGAAGCCATCATAGTAATGTGCTGGGAGACGCAATTTGTGCTTGTGATGGGAGACTACTATATGATATTGCTATACTTCTCCCTCCGCTCCTCCTGTATGCCCCACTGCGCGGGTTGAAATCCCTGGACTTTGGGTATTCGGAATAGGCTAGGTGCGTAGGGATGTGTACGTACTGCCCGTGCAACATTTTGGTTACGGGAGTTGACCCTCCTCCGTCCCACCATTTTATCAATTCACGATACCTTCATGGTAGCGAGGTGACACCTGTCTGTCCCTCCCTCCACTGCAGCGCAGTATCCCATATCTATCGATACCTCTCCCCTATCAATTCCTCGACTGGTTAGCCCCCCCCAGTTTGACCCTTTACACCTGCGGGGGAGAGGGAAGCGCTAGGTACCATACTTGTAAAGCATTTAACAAGTACCCCAACTTACCGCATCGGCTTAAAGTTATCGTTACCGTACTACCCTTTGCCTTTGTCCGGCGTGTACCGAACAGGTCACTGTACTTACCTTCCCACAAAAGAACTCTACCATGCAGGGCGGTTTCCAGGGTCCACACGTTCGACACCGTAATTTGTCAGACCATCTCACAGTAAGAAAATTACCCTACCCGATTACGAAGTGTTAATGGTGCGGTCAAGGGTGACAAGATAGCACGCCGAACCCCAAAGCAACTTGTCCGGTGAAGAACACAAACCTGGGAGGATAATATCTCACCGCCGTTGGCCGAACAACTATCTGTATTGAAGAAAAAAGGAAGAAAGGTTCTTCGGGTCTTGGACATCTCGAGGCATTATGATAGCGTTACTAGTGCGCCTGTAGTACTCACGTCTCCATAGCAAGAATCGGTGCCCATTCATCCTTTCTGGTTGTATGTCATGCACTCGAGCCAAGAATTGGCACCTCTCTTGGAATAGCTCCCATGGACCCATAAAAAGTATAGTGTTGAAGCCGCTGTCAAAAGGAGCGTATACACCGCCGCCATACAGAGCAATAACCATCATGGACATTGACTGCACAACCTTTCGACCATGAGACTAAATTAACATTGCATGCTACGATACCGCGTTTTCTCAATACTAAATTCACCATAAAATTATGTTGCGCCATTGAGCCCATTGAGCCCTTCATGTAGTCCCTATGCAGTTCAATTTCTCTATCAGGTGGATTTAGTGACCTGAATTGAAAACGTCCAATTCCTTATAAGGATTGTTGTCAAATGTGTGATTGTACTCACTCTCATGGGAATCCATTTTCTTGCGCCACTGACACAGTCTTTCAAACATCTCGAACGCTATACTTGTTATGGGTCGGCCAGCGCTATTCCAGAAGAGGTGCCAATTCTTGGCTCGGAAGCACGAGTACTCGTACTGTGCTCGAGTAGCTATTCCGAAAAAGGGAGCAAATTCTTGGCGCGGAGAGGAGTAGATTAAGCGTGATGATTGGGCCGTCGGATGTTGAAGCCATAATAGCGGCGCTCTACTCGAGTATGATACTCTACGAGTACTATGGGACCTTCTAGAGCAAGGTATCACCGGATACCAGTGTTAGCCCGTGAACCCTCCTGATATACAGCTCCCTCATCCACTGAAAAGAGATGAGAATTCCTTGGGCGTTTTGCGATTCTTTTATTCGCCGGAAAGGATATCAATGGAGGCTTGGCCAATACGACAGTGCTCACTGACCAGCTCCCCCACCCGAGCACAGTACCCGGGCAGTAAACTCCCCTGCCACTGGACAGGGAGAAAGGATCTGATATGCTCTTTGAGACAGCTATGGTACGGCCTCTAATCTAAACCCAAGGATTGTTTCCCTTTTCAGCAGCAAATTCACTTTTACCACTACACAGTGATCTCAAGCCTCCAGTTCGGACCACGGCTTTGAAAATTCCTGATTCAGTCCGGTCGAAATTATCAGCAGGCACCCAAGCCGGGCGGCGGCGCCCAGGCAATCCAAAGACATCCGTGAACAGCCCGCATGCTTTCCACTTTTAATCACTCGGAATCGGAGAATAAAAGCAACGTATCATACTCGTGGCGCTATTGATTTCGCACAAGACAAATGTATGCCATCCACCGATCAACCACCACAATACCCACAACTCCCCAACCCTTATCGTCCTATCATACCTCGAGACACTCTATAATGCACCAATCTTCGCACAACTCTCTGACCAACCCCGCGTGAATATATATCAGCCGAATCATTTTTGCTATGCACAATTAGTCCTATTGAATAATAAAATCTTTCTTTGTTCTGAGACACAAGTTATCACTTGAGACCTCGGCCTTCGGCCCGACCCGACCTTAGTTTTAAAAAGCCACCTCGCTACAGCCCCGCCGTCATCAGTGCCGGACGGAACTGGCCGCTTTGGTTCACTGCTTTTTGCATTGGATAATTTGCGTATCATGCCGTAACCGCCGACCAACCTATCTATGATACCGAGAACTCTCATAGAGGTATATCATGTTATACTATGTATTGGGAATAACCTAACTCCTCAGCCAAGGTGTAAGAAAAGCCTCACGGCCCACGAATCGTATCCTCACGCGCGTTTAGATACGGATATTAGGAAGTGGTGAAAAATAAGCAATTCCTTCCTTCCTTCTAGTAAGATGTGATCTGTGATCGTGGCTGATCATTGGCTGTATATGGGTCATCTTCTGGGGCAGACCGTGGCGATGGGTTTGGCGAGTAGTGCTATCGTAGCCCTCAAGCTTGCCTTCTTCCCCCAAAATTGGATCAGTAGAGTACGGTAAGGTACGGTAATGTAATGGTTACTGTGCTCAAAGTGTTATAGTCTACCGGTACGGTACTCATACAAACATCAACATGACATTTGTTTGTGCGGGTAATATCAAACACTTATCCCTGCCGGAACGGTTTTCCAAAGGGCATTCTGGGGAGGTTTTTTTTTTCTTCACTTTCCTTATCAATTCTGCAAACTGACTGTTACATTTTAGCAATCTGAGACACGACGACAACAATAAGAAATTAAACTTCCCCCACCTCCCCTCAGAGTTTACAACATCACAATAACCCTATTCTTATTGCGATTGCGATTCTTCATTAATCGAGAATACCGTACTTGCGTAAGGCTTATAATTGTGAGTAAGGGCGGAAAAAGAGTGTGGCAAAAAAAATAGCAGGAATTGTGTTGAACTTTCTTTTGTGAAAAGAAAGAGACAAGGCGTGTGATAGTCAGAAACCCGGACCAGTTGGGTTGCTGTTTACTTTCCTCTAGAGATGAGAATTGGGGACTGAAGAGCTACCGTACCCGGGGTTGTAGGTATTCCCTATGGGACCGGCGGCTGGTCTGTACTCTACTGAGCCTAATTTCGTGACTCTTGCCTACACTACCCGGGAACCCACCGCCTACCAGCGAGATGATTCACCTTCCATGTGCTTGCTGCCCCGCGCGATCTTGCTGATACCTTTTTCCGCCCTTTATCACCCTGCGCGAGTATGTAGCGAACGAGCGGGCCAAGCATTCTCGACGCTGCATTTTAATATTTTACTACAGATAGTGCATACTTTATCGGCACATGAACAACCCCTATTTGTTCCGTGAATGAGCTATTGTAAAGTGGAGAGATTCTCCCTAAACTTTCGGGGATGAGGGGAAGGAAGGGGAGAAAAAAAATAAAAAAAATAAGAAATGCCCATGCGCCAAACTCCCAACTCCCAGCCCCGCTCAAATACACATAAGAACGAAAATAAAAATAAAGGAAACTCAAACATTATTGAGATATAGAGCAGCAGGCTCTCTCTCTATCTCTCTAAGAATGCCCCGCCGCCTCAGCATGATCGCTCTCCACCCCTGAAATCTCACCCCTCCTCTTCCTACACAGGCCTAGCGACTGCGCACCCTTCTCCACTCGCTTTAACCGCTCCCGCTCTTTAGGCCTCATACATAGGTAGATGGGATATGTCGCGGCACTAGCAAACAATGCTGTCGGCACACACATGGCGTATCTGGCAGCCCAATCACCATCGCCCCTCCTGCGCATGACAGCATAATACACCCCTGGGAATATCGCACCCGCGCCGACAGCCGAGACTTGGTACTTTGACACATCCTTGGAGTATACCCCCAGCCGGCGGGTAGCTAACGCGAAGATTATTGGGAAGCAGGGTGCTGCAAAGAGCCAGACCATTAGCAGCATGCCGACTTGCGCCTGGCTACCCGAGACGGCCATTGCCAGGGCTGAGAATATCCCTCCGCCGCAGAGGGAAGCAAGGAGGACCCATCTAGGCTTCACGGCGAACATTAAGACCGTGCTGGTGAAGCGGCCGGCAATGAAAAGGCCCTGCCCCGTGCGGGTATGCGGAGAGCTTTCGAAGATGGGTTTGCCAAAGTAAGCGTTTGAGAAGGACATTACCACCTCTTGAGCACCCACGTAGAATAGCTGCGCTAGGAACCCCCAGACAAAGCTGATGCCATGCTCGCTTCTCAGGAGCGATTTGGGGACATTGTCGGCCCCACCATCCTGGGGACCGAAGTCTGCGTCACTCACCTCGGGGATGTCGGCGTAGTAGAACGCGAATGCTAATATGAAAGTAAATAGTGCGAAGGCGAGATATATCCACTGAGCGTCAATGAGCGAGGTCACTGTTAGTATTCTTTCCTGTGTCCCCGATACGGTTGGTAGCACTTTGGACGCAAAGGTGGACGCTAGTAAGATTCCGACGGGTTGCACACTCTGTACCAGATTCAATCGTATTTCACTATATTTAGTAGGGCCGCAAAGGATCATAAATAGGTTTGCAGCACACTCAATCCTGAAGAGAAATTAGCCTAACCCAGAAAAGATCGCGAGTGCAGGTACCCACATAGCCAACCCCGTCGCTACAAGAAACATCGAGGCGCAAAAGCCCCCATAACTCCGTAGCACTGCACTGGGCCAAAAAACTAGACAACCACACCCGGAAATTGTCAACCCAACCATGATTGTAGCCTTAAACCCGTATCTCTTAAGCACCGGTCCCCCGATCAATAATGGTGCAATAGCATACGCCCTACTTCCGTCAGAAATTAGGCCCGGGAGACACCACAAAGAGGAGCAAACCCAAAATAAGAAGCATGCAAGCCAACGTACTGCTGAGTAGTTATGCCGATAAGCCGTTCAAACCGCTTATTCAGCGTATCCACAAAGCCATACGCAAACCCCCAAATGAAGAACAGTCCGGCAATCTGGCATACTGGCCGAATAGATTCTCGCATATTGAGCGCCAAGGCAGACTTCGGCCTCGGAAGATCGAAGAATCCTGGTGGCCGATCGTCCGCACTGAGACCAGTGGGGGCTCCGGAAGCGCCGGTCAAGCCCGCTGTGGTGGATGTTTCACCTGTGAGGCCGATGCAGCTCGGAAATAATCTAGCAACGAGCGGCTTTAACATCGGGATTGAGGCGCAGAATATTCCAACGTTGACTTCGATTGAGCTCCACATGAAGGAGAGCGAACCATCCCCTGTATCAATTAATCGAGGTCATATTAGGGATTTTTCCTAGAAAACCCACAGTTTAGCAAAGTAGTAGCGACTGCCTTCTCGAAGAAATGAATTCTCACGATACCAATTACCGTAACGCTGTTCGGCGCGGAAATGTCAGCCCTCCTCCACCGTCCGGTGCAGGCGCTACGAAGGGTAAAAATAGTTCACTCACAATCCTCCAGCAGCGAATACCACGATTAATATGATCTTCTGTTTCCTAGGCAGCCTTAGAGAAGTCAAGATCGGCATCGGCAAAACGAGTATCGCCAAATCTGTTATCAGATTGACAGGACCAGAAGCATAAAGCATTGTATATGTCGGTATGCATTCGAACGAGGGGGAATGAGAAGTTTGAAATGTTTCTGAGACCTGGAAATGGAAATCACTAATTGTCAATAGAATCCGTCGAATACTCCCGAATGTTAAAATCAAATAGGGCACCCACAGGTTGACACTGAAAAGCAATGAGCAAGGTCAAAATCAACCCGGCAACGTTAACGGCTACCAACGTCACCCAATTAGCGATTCTCAGAAGTTTGTAATTCTTCGAAAGCCCAAGGTAAAAGACTAATATTGACGTCTTCGTCGCCATGAGAGCAGGGTTCTGGGACGGAATCAAGTATTAGTCGAATTGTCTCTTTGTGCGGTAAAAGAAAATAAGAAAAAAAGAATTTACAAAGTTTTAGAAGACTTACATAAAGTAGCGTGTATGCGTACCGAGCCTAAATTTCGAATCGAAAAAAAAAAAAAAAAAGGGTCAGAAACACCTGAGGAATCTCGGTTCATGTCAAGATTTTGAATTGAATTAATTAAACCGACGAACCTTGCCAAGCGGGGCCGCGAGGTCATCTAGAGAACTTTCACGATGTTCGCCGAGACCGAATCTCGTGGCTAATCGTGATCATGTTAGAAAACAGTGGCATGATATCGAAACCCCCTGGGTTCGGAACTATACGTAACATACCGAAGCATATCGTGAGGGACATCGCAAACGACAAGACCTAAAGTACGGTCAAAAAAAAAATCAGCAACAATCCCTCCCGAAACAACTAACAAGCAATCCCCCACCCCCACCCCCCACCCCCGCCAACGTTAATCGTGATCCGTACCCAAGCAAGCAAAATAAACCAATCATCCATCCCAATTTTCCTCACGATCCATCCTCTCGCCACGAACCTTAGCAGGACAGTAACAAACGATAAAACCACCACTGCCGTTATCGAACCTATCAGGAGCGGTGCTCTCGAGGCAACGCTTTCGTGCGCACCCAATCCCGGCCCTTCCGTACCCGTATTCATCGCCACAGATATGATGTGGCTCCCCTCGAGTGGAGGGTATCTGCGAAACAAATCATCAAGGGACAACCTTCTTAGGGCTGCCCTTCGGTCGGAGCGAACGGAAACTTTTCTTGAAAGCAGAAGGCCTAATACACACAGGCCACCGTGGAGAACAAGAAGTAGAATAAGAGGGACCCTGACGCACTGATAACAAAAGGTCCGGGGAGGGGGAGAGAGAATAACAAGACTGAAGGTGGGGAGGAAGGAAGAGCCAGAACGGGCACGTAAAACTATGTCGCCGAAGCTCAGGCTTTGGAGCCTGGCACTGAACTATATTGTAGTAGTGCTCTCGGGGAGGCCGATATGTTTTTAATCCAGCCCATGTTATGGTGGCATGGTTGGATATCGTGTGGGGCCTCACGGCCTTTAATATGGCGACTGCCGTCAAGACGAGAGTTGAAAAAAAAAAAAAAAAAAAAAAAAGGTTCCCTCCTCCTTTTAGAGTTTTTAGAGATGCATGGCATGGTCCCGGGTGCTGTTAATATAATAAATTTCTCCAAAGTGAAAAAAAAGGTTGACTATCACACGGTGTGGTAACATATACGTCAGTTTTCCCGTTCGAGTGAATCTTATCAGGCGCAGACTCGCTACCGTATGTACTCGAGTATCGTATGTGAAAGAAGCCTGACTGGTCTTGGTAGGGTCAAAGCACCCAATCAAAGACAATCGGTTGGAAGCCGGCCCTTCAGTATGGGGTGGGTTGTAGAGGGATTTCGGAGCAAGTAATTTGCTTATCCCTCGGACTGCCGGAGACAGTAAAATTCGTGACTAGGCACGCCAAGTCCGACGAGGCCGGCTTGCTAGTGGTACGGAAGTGTTTTTCTGATACGAGTAGACGCCAGATCGGGATGCACTGGATGGCATATCAGGTTATGAACTCGGGCTTTTCAATGTTCAAGTGACTCCGCGCCTTGGCAACCATTTATTGGCAACGAATCACAATACCGATACTCCAATGCCCCAAAAACAGGATTAGCGCGCCTGGTCGCGAATCTTGCAGTTTTAGACCCGCCCAAGTATTGTACGATACTCGTACTTAATTAGAGCACCGGTACCTTACTCGAGTACGGCAGTCTAGCGATAGTGTGGTTCCTACTTGTTGCAACAGCGGTGGGTCACAGGTTAGGGTTTCGTGTCGCACTTGAGGGATCCCGTAAGCTACTGTAAAAACGAAAAATGTGCTAGGAGCTTGTGCTATAATAGTACGAGTGCGGTAGCGGCACTCGTAGTTGCTCTCCGAAACAAAGCACCGTGTCTCCTGCGCTGTCTCAGTTGAGGGCTGAGTTTGCGTTGATTTCTATCATATCATATCATACTTGCTTAGCCGAGAGGGGGAATTCTAACGTCATGCAACATTTCTCTCCTACCGGTACCGGTATTCGAGTCCCTACGTCAGGTAACTCTGCCCTCAGAGTTCTGTCAATTTGTAGGAGATTGCGAATTCTTTTGGCGGGGTAAATGATAGTCTAGTATCTCACCCTAACCCATCTTACAGCAAGACAAAATTCACGCCCCATTCTCCAGGCCCGCGCGCCGCGACAGTAAGCACAGCTGCCACAAGACAACGATCCCTAACCCCCCCTTGCGAAAGCCCTCTTTAATGGGAGAAAGGACGGGGATGTCCAAATGTGTGAATATCGGTACCGCGATTGGTACACCTGCCTGCCGTGCTCGTATAACCTCAAGCCGCCGGATTGGAGCTACGTTAATCTTTTCCACCAGAATGAACGCAGCTCTAATCCCTCGTTGTTTGAGGTACAGCAATTCTCGATACAGTAATATCAACGTGGAAAACCACGCTTCCAATGCGCAGCATGTGGTACGACACTCTGAACAACGCCCGTACCACACATAATAGGGGTCTCGGCTACCCCAATCGGCTCTCACACCACCGGTATGAGGCCTGAAAAATGGGGAACTTTTTTTCGGTCTACAGCGTGAGCCCGGTTCGAACGGCTACTTGACCGATGTCTCCCACCATCATTGAAGCCCGTCCTGCAGCGGGAAGCATATTCTTGGATCAGGGGTCAAAGAATTGATGAGAAATCAGTTTAGTGTTTCCAAAGTTTCAGCAGTTCAACAATGTACAGCTGCCATGAAACTTTGCTACGAACGTCGTGGCTTGAACTGTTCTTATCACCAGACCAATGACACTGAGTTTTCTAATAAATGTGAGCTAGTGCTCTGTGGTTCGACTCTGCGCAGTCTTAAGTGCAGTTCTCAAATGTGGTGGCGGGAACAGTCCTTTGTTCACACCTTTGTTGACCAAATATTGGTATTGTGGTTTGCACTAACGCGAGGATCCCACGCCAAGTTTTATACCGCGCTTAGCAAAACTTTAGTCTTCTGACCTTGTTGCGGCAAAGTAAGCACAGTTCGGATTCACGACCGTCTTAACAAAACCTCTCTATTCCTCGTGTATTTTTTGCTTATTTTTGGTCCTCCCTAATGGCTTGTTTTCAGGTCTCAACTTCACCGCGGCGCGGACGAGTTGAAGTTGGACACTTCACATGGGAGCCGCCATCTTAGGTGCCCAACTTCAACCGGGCCGCAGGCGCACCTCACAGGCCAGGTTGCGGAGTAAGTCAAGCGATTAGTTATTTGCTTGTACCGTACAAGTATCGTACGTGCCGGTCCGACAGAAGGGCCTATCATATCCGATTCATTAATGATCAGCCACCATAAAGTCCGGTTAAATCGATTCAACCGGTCCATGAACCCCGGTCCAAGCTCCAGGGACCAGGTCTTGACGGAGCCGTAGGGAGGAAAAAGAGGAGATGGGGGCCAGGGACTGGGAAAGGCAACCCATGCTCTAACTGCTGCTGCAGGTGCAAGTACAGTAGATCGCCAGGCATCGCTTTGCGTTTAATTCCATTCACCTAGGATGCAAGTACGAGTATCAAGAACCCTGCCCACAAAATACGGCACCACGGAGAATACTCACGAGTCCGGAGGCCCAATATATCGGTGATACACAGGACTTAATAGTACCTTGACCGTGCCCGTCCGGTGCCAGAGTGCGGGTAACGCTTTTGTATGATGCATGTATTTTCCCGCCTTTTTTTTTCCTGCTCCTTTCCAGAGATGAGAGTGTCCACAGCGCATGCCATAATACGATGGTACGGTACTGCGAGAAAATAACCCTAAATTGATCATCATGGCGTCGTCGGACGTCAACCATCTTTGGCCAAACCTGGAAAATATTGGATTCCCATATCCCCGCAAATGCTGCAGTTCTTAGGCCAGAAGGTTTGATTTCGGGTGTCTCCCTTGGGAAATCTGACATGGCCCCCCATGACACCGGGGTATGCATAATTGATAGAAAACTTTCGATTCTCACCTGAGGGGTTTTTGAAATTTGTTGAAATCGACTGAGGTTTCGCTTCCCCGACCGCTTCCCAGGTCGAAACTTGTTTGGGTATGGTTCTCTCGGCTTACCGGCCCCTCTAATTTGAGGGTCTTAATACCGGCACCGGTAATCCTACCGACCTGGAGCGAGACATGATCCATATCTATTTGATCGGCCAGTCATATTATCACTTACCTGTGTCGGTCATCCCTTTAAAAACTTCATACACAGCCATAAAGCTCATTTGCTCTCAGTGACCAGTGTATCACATCGTACCCTATCTCCTCGTGGGACGCGGGTCGGATTCGTGCTAGGGAGGTTTGCCAAATCCCATTTCGATATTTGCTTAAAGTGTGGTGTGTCTTCGTGCCTTTCCGTTATCTCGGCTGCCCCGAACCCTAACCTAAGCTCACTTTTGCAAGGTGTGGGGCGGGGAGGCAAAAAGGGTTTACCGGTACGGTAGTCCATCACCCCTGTTCACACAATGGGAAGCCAACCAGCCACCTCGGCCCACCTGTTTGCCCTGAAAGCCACGGAATTTAAGCAATTTCTGTATTTAGGTTGTGGCTTGCGTGTGAAAATGGGCTTCAATCACGGCGTGAACAAGGGTGACCAACTCACCCCTCTCACCTTCTCGCACATCACCGATATACGGTATTTGTAGCCAGGAGGTGGTCTGGCATTCATGCAAAGTCTCCATAACCGCCACTAATACCGCACTTGAGTACCGTAAAAACCCCTTACAAGTATAATTCACTATCGTTTTATCAGCGGAAATCAGCCCGTCATCCCGCAATATGTTAGTTTGATGGGTTGAGAGAACCGCGAACACCGATTAATGAGATCCAACACATCTAGTGGGCTATTCTTATCCCATGTCGGGAAAATGCCAATCCCTCTCCTGAGCTTCTCTCTTAGAATCCGGAGATTGCAGGGCTCGCGGAGATGGTGGAATAAGGGCTCTTGCGGTCTTCTTAGGAAGATAAATAAACAGATACCGTCAATAACCGGACGGAATTATTCTGCGCTCCATCTTATTTTCCTTGCTCTCTCGTATGAGTAGAAGGAGCTTTGCAGTACTACACTGTGCAGCTAATAATTAGACAAGAGAATTAGCCAAGGAAAAATTTCTTGCTAACCAAGAGAGACGCGGGTGTTTCGCCATTAGTTGTAAACATGATGTTTGGAGAGGCTCAAATTCCAAGCCCGCCTATCATACGTTTGTTGTTTGTTGATTGCCAGAGGATATTCTGCGGGGCTAGACTCGTAGAGGCAGGGGGAACAATATTTGAGTAAATTTTCTGCTTAGGGAGGTCATTCCGTAGAACCACAATATCCAGGAGTTTGGAA